ATTGTATAACATGCTCTTTTGTTGTTGAATTGCATGGATAATGTGATTTTGTTAACTTGTATTCAAATATGCTTTTGTCATGTTGCATGGATTACTCTAGACCTAGTTCAATTGTATTGAAAATGCAATTCATGTTAGTCTATGCTCAAGCATTCTTCTTGTTGTGTTCTTTAGATTCTCCCAACCATGATTCGTTTCATACACGTATGTATATCATGATTCTTGTTGCTTAGACTTTAAGATAGCTTAGGATGCTCCTTGAGTCTCATTTGGACATAGACGTTAGGTGGCATGAGCCCCTTTAACATGTTTCACCTTAAGGTGATAAATTTGTAAAATGCTAGGTCGATGCACGTTCATCTCCTACGAGTAGCTTTATGTTACTCACCCCTATGATACTGGGGCATATTTTAGGTACAAAAACTTGGTTCGTGACGCCTAGCATTCCTTGGATGTCGTGTAGCTTTCAAGTTTCCATTTCATGCAAATGTTAGCAGGAAATGTCATTTTGTAGACTTATATGTAAAATTTGTATTCTTTGATCCCATGTATGTAATGTGTACATAAGTGCACTCCTTTCAATGTATTTGACATGTATGAGATGAGGCCGGAGGCTAATGACATGTGTATTGTATTTAATACAATTTTTAACTTCATGAAATATTATGAAAACCTTGAAAAATCGCAAGTCATTACTTCACCATGGTTGCATCGGGTGTGGGAATTCCATTTTCTTTCTTTCATAGGATCTTATTAATCTTGTATGAAGTGTGTCTGAGGGCCAAACGGTCATTTGACTCCATTTTACATTTTTGGATTCCATGTTTTCCAATCCAAGTCCATTTTTGCCTTTTTGCCCGTTGGGGGGTCGGATTTTCCATCGGCTATATTTTTAAGTCGTGGACCATTGTAGCACATCCAAATAGGTATCTTACATTTGTGTGCATGGTCTTTTTCGGGCAAAACCTTATCGTTTGTGTTTTAAGCTTCCTATGAACTCATTTTGAAGTTTTGTTACATAATCTGATTTTAGGGCACTTTGGGGTTTTCCTTCGGGAAATAAATTCCGTTCTTAACATGGTCACTTAGAAAACGTGATTTTAGGGGGGGTTTCTTCTTTGTGTTTTTCCAGAAAATGTCGTCTTGGTACCAGAAATCCCATGCAAAGTTCAGTTTTTCTGCTCTGCTATAGCAGCTTTTTTTTTAACTTCTTGCCCTTTCCTGATCTAGGGGCATTCTAGGTACTTCATAGTGTTTCTTTTTCATTTTCATTCGCGTTCCGGGTAGAAAACGTGATTTTAGGGGGGGTTTCTTCTTCGTGTTTTTACAAAAAAAAAAAAAGATCATCTTGATGCCGAAAACAACTCGCAGATCTGGAAAATCTGGTCGTTCGAGGTTTTTCCGGAAAAAGTGCTGATCTAAGGGGCATTTTGGATATTTCACTTGTAAAATAAAATCTTCTCTTGACATGGCCATGTTGAAAACACGATTTTGGGAGGGGTTTGTTCACAACTTTTTGCCAAAAAATATGGTTTAAGCCCTCAAAACCACATTTGAAGTCCAAAAATCTGTGCAGGTCCTGCCCAGATTTTAACCCACAAAGTTGTTTTTTTTTAAACTTTGAGGCTTCATATCTTCTTCATCCCGACTCCAAATCAAGTGATTTTTGAGTTTAAGTTTATTAGTTTTTACTGGTCTATATAACGATATACACGATTGCATCCAATTATATCTTAAAAGACCATTTTACCCCTTGTAAAGTACCCTTGGTGCACTGATTTTAAACCCAAAAGTTGGTTTTTATGAAACTTTGACGTTTCATATCTTCTTCGTCCGGACTCCGAATCAAGTGATTCTTGAGTCTAAATTCTTTAACTTTTCCTGGTCTATCTAACGGTATACTCAGTTACATTCAATTTTATCAGAAAAGACCATTTTACCCCTTGCGGATTACCCTTGCTACATTGATTTCAAACCTAAAAATGTGATTTTTATGAAACTTTGGAGTTCTATATTTTCTTCATCCGGACTCCGAATCAAGTGATTCTTTAGTCCATCTTGATTAGTTTTTCGTTGTCCTTCCAGTGGTGTGCTCGGTGGCACCCGAGTCCACAGTTTTCAGAAATGACTATTTTGCCCTTAGGGGCTTATTTGTCATATTTTTGGTCTTTTGCTTCCGCGTTAATTCTCATTGAGTTCCACGACCTCATGGAAGGTCATTTTGACTTCTTAAAGTCTTGTTTCTGTTTTCGCTTCTTCATTCAGATCCGTTATCAGATCATCCTTACGGTTCATCACATGACACGCTGGCCTAAAAACCAGGGTCGTCACAGATAAAAAGAATTAACAATTTTTGACAAATGTAGTACAAGTTGTTCAAAAATAACCCATCCAAGGCAAAGGAAATTCAGAAAGAACAGCCACGACCCCATCTTCAACTTCAACTTCAACAAGTCTTCTTGCCCATTTGATTTGAATTACCCTACATTTTTTATAAATTCATTACGCACACATTATAATAAATGTAAATTTAATGTATATATAAGAGAAATTAAAAGTTCATAACCTTAACTGAATTGGCATCATGACCAGATAATGAATTTGGGGATGCTCTAGGAAGAGCATTTAACGAATCAGAACCCTTCAAAATAAGAAAACAAGATACATGAAATCTTGGCATAAGTAAACATATATTTAGTAAAGAATAAAACTAATAATAAATATACCTGTCCACTATAATTTTGTTGTTGCATCTGGATTAGCATAGCCACCTGTTGTTACAAATTTTCTAACTTGTCATCATAGTTGGCTCGTAAATTTTCCAACTCGTTGTCATAGTTGGCTTGCATTTTTGAAATGGTCTCCTGCAACTCTACGCGTGCAACACGTGCCTCCTCGTCAGATTTTTTCGCATTATTAATCAGTTTAGCTTTACTAGGAGAGGGCCCCCAAACATCGTTTGGTGTAGGCCCGAAGCCAAGCATCCGCACAAGACCAATTCTCTCTTCTCCCCTCACAATGGACAACAAATCATTGGAACTGCCAATAGGTGAGTCAGAGTAACTTTTTTGAAGTACTTTTATGATTTCCTGCCAAAAAAAAAAAAAGTTTGAACTACCATGACATACTGCTATGAATATCTAGACAAATCTAATGAAATGAATGAGAGAACAGGAATCCAGAAACTGTTATACATACAATTACTATTATGGACTTTAAATAATATACTTGCCATTCTATGTTGTGATTTTGTGAATTAGGATGTTGAGTGACCTTGTTTTCTCACTATAGATGGTGTTATCATTATTCTTCCATTCCACTATTATGAAGATTTATGAGGAAAATTTAATAAAATAAAAACACTCTCTTTATGGAGAATTGTAGCCAGTAAAATGAACTTTAGTGAAAATGTTAAGCACTACAGTTTTTTCTAGACTCAGTTTTGTGATTACTGTGTCATAGATAATGGATTCATTGCTTCAAACGCTACATAAAATAGTACATTCGGAAACTTTGAAAACTAAACAGAGGTGTGCCTTTGAAAGATGTTTTTCTATTTTGTTTTAGAACTTCGATGATTGGGGTTGAGAGGAACACATTAAATTGAAGAATTCAGGGTGATTTTCTTGGCCACACCTAGAGCATTTGTTTCTAATTTTTTTTTTTTTTTTGTAATGCAACATTCTTAGACAATATTCTTGTATCCAAACGTATCTAATAGTTTCCTATAAAACATTTGTAACATAAAAATCTAAAAAGTAGAACATTATGAAGGAAAGAAAATAGGAAAGAAAGGGAAGGAAAGAATCAAAGTAATTTGTGCAATAACAGTTGCAATGGAGAGGTCGAAGTGCCATCAACAAACTGATTAAGTAGTGCAATCCTAATTGAGTTGTAAATTCTTGTATATTTAGCCCTACTTAAACTCCATTTCTTTGCAGCTAAATTTAGAATAATAATAATAATAATAATAATAATAATAATAATAGTAAATTGCAGAAGAATTGAACTGACTGTCATAAAATTCCAGGTTCTAAGCTCTTTCCATGGAGCAAAAAGCCAGGAAAAAAAAAATTAATACAATTTAAACATATATTGGAATATATCCAATCCCAAATTAGGAATGATACAATATTCTTCTTCCATTTATTATGGAGAAGTAGGTAAGCAAGTTAAGAATGTTGTTAAAAAAAATTATTGGTTTTGTATGACTGATCATGCTCCTAAAACACCGACCTTCCTACGAATGGTGTAGTTGTATTGTTTTTTTTTAGTATTCATGCTTTTACACAATGTTATTTAGTCATTCAGTTTAGAATTTATTTACCATTTTTATAAATTCAGATAATTAACTACGAATTTGTTATTATTATAATAATAATTATTATTGGACTTGATATTGAGCGTTCACTTGAATTACAGTTGACAATTGAAAACTCAAAGTTTGCTTTGAACATATTAGACATGCTCGTGAGCCACATTCATGTTTTTGCAGCTCATATGAATTGGTAATCGTGGTATGGGTGGGTAAAAGTCTGAAGCTTGGTATTCTTGTCGATGAGATTGCACTATCAATGCATTTTGGCCTTACAATAGCCTAAACCTTCTGCAGAGACCAATCTTTCAAGTGCAATTGGATTGGCTAGTCTAGAGGGATATTTTTTATGATAACCAGGAAAATAGTTTCTGCTCACAGTTTTTTTATTGAACAATTTCTGTTTTGTAAGTTAACAAATTTTGTTCCCGTGTGTTTTTTTTTTCACCATACAGTCAATATCAGGATATAGAAATACAGTATGTTTAACCCTAGGTCCCTAACCAACAATTTTTGTGAAAAGAGAGGTGCAACATATGCGAAAAATTTTAATATCATTTCATTGATGAAAAGTTGATTTTGTCAGCTGAACTATCTTTCAAGTTTGAGGCAAGAAAGAGATGATACCATGAGTTGTACACTATATATTGTCATTAAGTATCAAGTACATTGGTTTTTTTTTTCTCTATTTTTTACTCCTTATCTATGACTATAAGACCTAAAACTTATACAGTTTATGTGTTAGTGTAACCTAAGTAACATATGAGATGCGATCATTTTTATGTGAGATCAAAATTCTGGGCACATTGTGTCCATAATTTCCCAAGAATTACTAGGTGTAGAACAAGGATGAAGCAATAAAACTTAGAAACATAGAAAAGATGAGAGAACAAATAGAGTACAAGTGTTAATGGAAATTAAATGACACATTGACACAAACAACAAATAGCAAATACTTCTCCACAACACAAATCAATCAACAAGAAGCCTCCACATACAATGATCCCATACTCCCATGCTTTTCAACAAATACAAGAAAGTAAATTGCCTCCACACGGGCTGATGATAAACAACGAAATTAAAATGCCTCCACAAGGGCCGATGATTTAAAAATTGGTCACTTCAAGGCATGTGACCCCCTAATACACCGCAAAAAGTTTAAAAATTGGTCACTTAAAGGCACGTGACCCCCTTTTTGCAAAATGGAAGCATGAAAACTTATAATCATCTCCGAAGCAGCAGCATCAGTAGCTTTGCCATCCTTATTTACATGTGTGCAAATGAATAAATCTGCACGAGAAAGCTGAATACCTTCGTCTTCCTCAATCTATAAAAGAAACATAGACATTGTGATATATATTATTATTTACCACTAACATTTATAATCATTCAACCACAAAAGAACTGAAATAATTTATATTGCCAAAACTTCAACTAACCTCGGCAGAAACACATACAAAGCTTTTTGTCCCTATAGTATGCATCATTATCTGCTTCCCACGGCGTTTTTTGTCTTTTTTACCGACCTCCTACAAAAAGTGAGAAAAGTAAACGTTCTAACATTCCACCTAAAGTAATGACTGAAAGCAGGTAAATTATAAATTTAACTCATTGACTTTAAACAAAATTGGTAGATGGAGGTTTACCTTCGCCATAGGCGTACCCCAATGCCTAACCAAAAATTCCCAATGCTCCTTTTCAACATCAGGTGGTGGGTTTGCCAATCTTTCTGCATTTGTATCCCTAACCGAGTAATATTCACATTTTAATTAACACTTGTACCCCCTCCATTTTTTTTTTCCGATGGAGGATATTGTCCAATGTTTTGACATGATTCCCACATCATACTTTCCCTGAAAATGTGATAATTGGTGCATGTTAATCCACTTTTTCCATAAAAATTATTTTAATATCATTGAAGGGTTTTACCTTTACAACGTTCCACATATCCTCCTTCAGCCATTTAGGCATCTGCCACCGAGTTTTATAGCACAAAGGAGCTAAATTAGCATTTTGGGCAAGTGTTCCCAAATAATTAGTATATGTACCACTTCCAGGGCCGATCGGCTATCCAAACTTATTAACCCTAAACAAAAATTAACAATTGTAGATGTTTAGTACAAAAATAAAGATAGAAACCCTTTTTACTCCTTCATATTGAATATAGTCTAATTATGTAAACTATATAAGATGATCTCTATATATATGTACCTTAATGGTAATAAGGTTGTCGCGTTTACGACATTCTTGCATCATGTTGGGCCTCGTCTCTTCTTCGGCGGTGGTTAGGATGATTTTGAAGTTGAAGCTTCAGTATTTTGTTCACTCACTTTTTCCACTTCACTAAACGTTCGTTTCCTTGTCAGCTTATTATTTATCCTTCCTAGAAAAGAAAACAAAAAAGTGAGAATTCATTTAAGAGAATGCAATCAAATTGTTTAAAAAAGGCAGTGCACAATCCAGGAAAAATCAATAAAAAGAAATAAAAAATAATGTGCCAAGAATAGTTCAAAACATATTAAAAATATATAAACACGCAAAAAAACTAAATCAGTTTTCACGGGAAGCGTACATGTGCATGCTACAAAATACGATACTGCAATATTATTGTCAAAGTTGCATATATATATATATATAGTGAATCAGAGCTTATAATATCCAAAAAAGACATTTGACATCCAAAAAAGACGTTTCACATCCATTGAGTAGTAGATATGGAATCATCCTAAATCTCATCTTCATCAAGGTCATCATCAACATCATCATCTTCTTCTATAGTTGTTCCAAGCAAATTAGCTCTTGTCCAAAACCTGCTCTCATCAGGTACATCCAAGTCGTTATCCACATGTTATGCATGAAATGGCTCCTGAACTTGATAAGATTCAATATCATGCTCTGCCATATCATAAAGGTCTCGCGGTTTTGCGCCAATAACCACTTTCCACTCATTGTCAATGATATCATCAACATAGAATACTTATTCAGCTTGAGATGCTAGAATGAAAGGCTCATCTGTTCCCAACAATCGTGATGAATTAACAAGCTTAAATTGAAAATCATCCTCCTTTATTCCTCTACCCTTGGACAAGACATCAAACCAATCACACTTAAACAATACCACCTTCCTATTTACATTGTAATTTAACTCAATGATATCAGTCAGCACACCATAGTACTGAATATCTCCTGTGACGGGATTTTGATCGGTGGCTCTTGCATAACTAGATGTCACTACCTTTATGACAACTCCACTGTTCTGAGTCTTTCTCCGTCTCTCAACATCTCTAACATGAAACTTCAAACCATTGATCACAAACTTCTTGAACCGTTTCGCGACAGGGTTTGCACCTTGTGCTAGCCAGCTCAGCTTATTAGGAATTGGATCTTCACTATCTCGTAACTGTATTCTTAAAGATATAACTTATATAATAAGGTAATTTTTCATAAACCTATAATACACCAACAACACAAAATTCAAATACTTACACGTTCATTAAACCATTTGTGAAATAAATCATGAGACATCTTCTCTAATTGTCTTGGTTTTAAATAGCGCTGCCTCATCTTAAGAAATCTCTTATGTTTTCTGCATTGTGAAAATATAATGTTAAACATATTGCCTATTAAACAAAATGAAGTTTGACACGAATATAATCATGTAATATATTGAGGAACTTAATCTTACTCAATGAATGGTTCTGCTCCATGATAATTGAATAAAACATACCGATAAGCTTGCACCAAAGTCATCTCATCTAGATTAATGAACTCTTGTTTTCCCAAGGCACGGCTATAATGACCCGGATTTTCACGGATATTTTTTTTTTCCGTTGTCTTTCCTTTCTGAGTTCAGTTCCTCTTCGCTTAGTGTCGTCTCGAGTGCTCTGGAGTGATTTCTGAGACTCTTTTCTGCGGATTGACAACTTCCTTTGAAGACCGAGTCGTTTCCACATTTTTCGTTTTTCGACACTTTTCACTTTTCGTCCTTTTCCCTATTTTGTCTTTTCCCCGTTTGACACTTTGTTGGCGTAACCGCACTTCTTGTGTTTGGAGTTGGTTTTTGACTTCATGTATCTCCATCTTGAGTGGTTTCCATGAAATACGTATCTTTACTTTTGTAAGAAAGTACTCTGGTTGCTCCAATGTCCATAAGGGCATAGATGCAAAGTTTTTTTAAATTATTTTCTTTTCTTGGGGTGTTTTTGATAAATATCTTTTGAAGATATTTTATTTTAGGGGTTTTTAAGAAAATATTTTTGGAAGATATTTTCATTCTGGGCCATTAGTGCAGTTTTCACTTTTTAGAGGGGCCATTGTGCAATTAATGAAAGTTATTGCTAAATGCCTTGTTTTGAGCCTGGATCCTCGTACGGGATTCATTTTCACTTTTTGTGGAGTCGTGTACTCTTAGAAATTCCTTCTGGTCAATGCTTTCCAGTTTCAGGGTTTCTGGCCCCAATTTGCGCCAAACTTATTTTAGGCATAACTTTCTGTTCGGGACTTAGTTTTTGACGCTGTTTCTTCCGTTGTTCATATTTTATCATTTTGAATCTTTTTTGTTCACAAAGTTTTGCCATTTGAGCGCGTCTGCTCAAATTTTACTTTTTCGGACCCGGTAGGGCCCGTTCGGGGCACTTTTTGAGATTTCTATAAAATAGGGGTGAGATATTTCATTTTTCATCTTCTCCCCTCTTCATGCATGACCTGGAGCTCCCATGACAGCCCAAGGGGTGCTGCCATCTTCTCTCTCCTCTTTTGGTACACTTTTCCTTGATGGAAAGTTTTCGGCCTTAACGTTCGTTATTCCCCTCGCCATGCTCTACCTTTCCCCTTTATTAGAATTTAGTTTTGACCATTTCTTGAGTTTGGCTTTGAGGTCAAGTTATGATTTTGATGGGGCTTTCATGGGGGTTATGTTCACGGCGTTATCCCCGACAAAACCTAGTAGCTTCGTCGGATTCGGAGCCATTCCATTTTGATGGCTTTTGAGATTTTCATCTCAAATTGAGATAGGGAATGTTTTAGGCTTTTGTGTGTGTTGTATTGAGTGTTTAGCATGATTATACAACTGGTATATATGCCTTGTATCAAATCTTGAAAGTTATTAACTTTTATTTCTTTATATAAGATTTAAAATTCATGATGATATATAACTTTGATTTGAATTGTGGCATGCTAGAAAATCTAGTTTTAATATGTTTGTTAACAGATATTAAATTAGGATTAATTAAATAAGAATTACTCTTTTTAATTAATATTTATCTTTTGTGAAAGATTAAAGTACATGGCCATACCTTGCATGAAATTAAGTTGTAGTATGCTTCTAAATTAGGTTTTGGCATGTTGTTTAACACACTTTAATTTGAGAGCATTTGGACAAGTTTGAAAATCTAGAGATTTTAATTAAAATGATTAATTAAAATCTAATTAAGGGTTCCGTTGACCTAATTGAGTGTTTAGCTTGATATTTGTGATAACTATGACTTATGTACTAGCATATGTTAATTTGGGACCATTTAGAGTTGTTTTAGAATTGAGAGATTTAATTATCATGATGTAATTAAATTCTACCTTGTTGCACCATTGATTGAACCATGTAATTGACATTGATAATATGTTTAAGGCATGATTTTAGGCTTATAATGGAATTATGAGTTTATGTTCCAATATTGAATTATATTGTTATAGCGTGTAACGAATCGCACACTGAAGATTCGACATGTGATGTTATTATAGTGCGTAACGAATCACGCTCTAAAGATTCGACATTGTCATCCTATAGTAGTTATGGATTTAGAGCATGTGTTGTGTGGTTACAACCGACTTATGCATGAAGGTAGTTTCATGTACTGTTTAATACGTATATAAGTTGTTAACTTAATTATTTTGGAGTCTTGGGACATTGTTACTGTGATATGGCTAAAGTTCGGCTTTAGTGCGGGAAGTATGAGTTCTCCCCAATTGAGATAGTGCGCACTAGGGTGGTCTTCCCAGTGGGTTAATGCCCAGAATAACTAATTTGGTCTTGGTTTTGTCCGAGACGTGATGTCCAAGTCTTCCACTATTTGTTTTCGCATTCAATTCTAAGTTTGCAATCATGTTTATATTGTGACTTGTGGTTTTGGCTATCGGCGGTTTGATGTTGTTAAGTACATCTATACTAAATTGTTATATTTAGTTGATTTCTCACTGTTAGATTTCTAGTTGATAACTTAGAGAATCTATGTCTTGATGTGTGGTATTAGATATTCTAATTATGCTAAATTGTTATATTTAGTTGATGTTGTATTTTAGACTTCAAGTTGATAACCTTGAGAACCACTATGTTGTTGCTTTGTGTAAGTATGCTCCTATGTTATTGCTTTGTGTAAGCATGACCCTATGTTGTTAAAATTGCATGAATGAGGTGATTGATGCTAGAAATGATCTTAGGTAGCTAGGATGCTCCCTGAGTCTCACCTTGACATAGACGTTAGGTGGAATGAACAACAATAATTAAATCATGTAACTTGTAAAACTTTAGGTCGATGCATGCTCATTTTCTACGAGTAGCTTTATGTTACTCACCCCTATGATACTAGGGCATATTTTAGGTACAGGATACAAGATTGGAGATTACAATTGCTTGGGTGATTTGATGAGTTGAGCTTCTTTAGAAGCATTCTTGTTCACATGCAAGTGTTAGCATGTTCATGATTTGTCTATGAAATGTAATTTTTCTGACTTGGAGGTTTGACAAGTCAAATGTTGTAAATGTATTGTAATGAGGCCATAGGCCATTGTAGCACATCTATTTTATCATATTACATACACTTGCATGCTCACTTTGGCAAACAATACCTTCCTTGATAAAACAAAAACCTAAAGTTGCATATTTTTTAGTTTGACCCTATTCTGTTACAAGGGCATTTCAGGTATTTCATAATGATTTTTTTTCATTTTTTCTCAAGAGTCATATATAAAACTTGATTTTGAGGGGGGTTTCTTTTTTGTGCTTTTCCAGAAAACATCATCTTGGCCCTCAAAAATTCATATTTTTCCAGAAAATCCTTGCTTCCAGGTTTTGCAAATTTTTAGTACAAATGTAGTTGGTACTATTCACTGACTTTTTTTTGAAAATCATCACGACCGATCCAAAACTTCCGAAGGTCTTGTGGGTGTATTTTAAGATTGCTTTTTCAATTTAAGCAATTTAAAAACCTCCCGAAGCCCTATTTCCAAAACTTGGGCAGTAGCTCGGATTATTTTTTTTCCTCGTGATCTGATTTTCTTGGGGGCATTCTGGGCATTTTACAAAGCATTTTTTTGTTTTCGTTCACGCTTGGGGTAGGAAACTTGATTTTAGGGGGGGGGGGGGTTTCTTCTTTGAGTTTTTCCAAAAAA